TTTAACAGAGGTTGGGATTTCCTTCTCATTATTTCTAAATAGCTGAGGTTAACTTTGTTTCTCCTTCTTGTCCACATTATCACTTTTACTAAAAGATTCTCTCTCAAAGAATAATTCCAAATTTTATGCCATGGCTGTTATCTCCTCTAATCCTGCAGTCCCCAGCCCCCGGGCTGCGAACTGGTACCCATAAGTGGCCTACTAGGAACCAGGCCAGACAGCAGGAGGTGACCGGTGGGCTAGCAAGCAAAGCTTCATCTCTGTTTATAGCCTCTCCCCATCGCTTGCATCACTGCATAAGCTCCACCTCCTGTTAGATCAGCGATGGCATTAGATTCTCGTAGGAGCACAAACCCTATTGTTAACCACACACGCGAGGGATCTAGGTTGCACGCTCCTCATGTGAATCTAATGACTGATGATCTGAGTGGAGCTGGGGCTGTGATGCTAGCACTGGGGAGCAGCTGCAAATACAGGTTATCGTTAGCAGAGAGGTTTCGCTGCACAATAAATGTAATGCACTTGAATCATCCTGAAACCATTCCACCCCAACCCCCAGTCTGTGGAAAAATTGTCTTCCATGAAACTGGTCCCTGGTGCCAAAAAGGTTGGGGATCGCTGCTTTAATCAAATGCTGGTTCTGCAATTCTTTTGCTTAAAGGCTAGTAGCTTTAACGAAATAGCTATTGATAACAGCTGACCGCTTCAGTTTTTATCTCCTCAAGAGCAAAAAATTTGATAAATAGTACACTTTTAAAATAATCTGGCATGCATTAACAAAATTACTACCAGATGGTACAGGTTTCTCTTCTTAAATCTTACAAATCTAGGTGATCAAGCTTTAAAGGCCAATCATATTAGAAACAGGCTCATGTTTAAGTCACCTTTAAGAGCATCATCTTGTATGGAAAAATTTCAAGAGCGGTTGAGCTTAATCTGTATCATAGTGGTTGAAATTAATGGAAATGTCTCTCCTTGAGTGGAAAAGTATAATTTACTAAGGAACCCATTGGTCTTATTTCTTCACCTTTTCACATTCACGGTGTCACTTTTCTCTCACCTCAATACGTCACATCACCATATTGCTCCATGCATTGTGCTTATAAAAGATCATGTCAGATTTTCCCATCTATATTAGGGAAGCTTACAAATATTCTGTTTAAACTTTAAACATGCCATGATAATATGCTTATATGGGAACAGGAGAGCCATTCTTCTGTGGAGGAACTTATGTGGGATATTTACCTAACTTCATTTCTCCTATAAACAACGCATACATGTACAAAATGTAAATATGCATATTTTGTTTCTGCTGACAACCAGATGGATTAATGGCAATTAGGTTCAATAGCCAGATCTGTGAGGCTTAAATAAGGAGTGCGATGGAAGGAGAGCTCTCAATTTAACACACTCAGGGGGGTCCACGGATAGAACCTATTAGTTCCTCCAGCCATTTGGTCTGGGAATCCATACATTTATCAAGATATTGCTAATTTGCAGTTTGTGGCATAGGAAGTGAAGAAAATATGAGATCTTGTCCTCTATCCCAAAGAAATCCCTCTATAGAAGCTTTACTTTGGATCTATGTAGAATGAGCTCCAATGCACTTACTAAATGATAGGGAGCAAGTTTTGATACTCTCTGAGCCTTAGTATTCTCATCCAAAAAACAGGAAAGTGTAATACCTACCTTGTAAGAATGTTGTAAAAATTAAAGATAGTGCGTGTAACAATGCCATATAGCAGATGTTGGTACATCACGGTTCTCATTAATTTCAATAATAATAATGTAGATTGTTATTTAAATACATCGGCACGTTTCTTAAATTTACCACAGAGTCACTGATGCAGTTTTTGTGGGTTTGCAGAGAAAATCATCAAAAGGGTTTTACACATAGGACATAATTGTTTTCAGCTATTAGGTATTTGCAATTGTAAGTCCTTTAAAACTTCTATAGAAACATGAAAGAATTTAAATGCATTTATGTTTTGGTATTAAGTGTGTCTTCCACAATGCAGTATAAAATAGTGTGCTTTTAACATAAATTCTAAAATATTAAGCCTTTTTCTGAAGAGATAATTGAAATCGTAAGAATTCTGTATGTTCCATCTCTCAGATTGTGAGGATAATGTGCTTTCTATATAGGTGCTGTACATTTTAAATGCTAAAAATAGGGTTTTTTTACAGTTTTTGCCATCATAGAACATATATTCCATGCAGAAGAGAGGCAAGAAATGTCAAAATAAGTTTTTTAAGTTGATTTTTCCTTGATCTTTAATCTTCCCACTGACTGGTATAACTTCTACCAGAAACTTTCCCATCCTGTAATGCTGGAACTCCTAGATAGAGAGGTTTGTGTGGAAGCAGCCTACGATTCACAGAATTCTGATTTTTCAACTCAACGTTCCAACGATATAACTTAGGTTAGGAGCAATCCAAAACAAAACACTAGAATCCCGTAATATCGTTAATACTATTTACACTACATTTCTGTTCAGTATGTTTTTGTCTTGGCTGTGAAACTTAACCATGTATGATTGAGAAAGAACATTCCAAATACCACTCCAAAGAATTTTTTAAACACTCTCTACATAGATCATTTCCTCTTTTGTTTTGTTTTCACAGATAACTATAGAAATAGATGTGGTCAGGATGCATTTATTTTTATTTCTAATTTGTCCATGAGTTACTTATTAGCTCTCAGGAAATAGTGAGAAGTACGTGTGGATAATTCTGAAGCTTAATGTAACCTTTCTTCCAAAGATTATGTTTTCTTTCTCACATGGATAAATTAGCCTTCTTACTTCCTCTTAGGAAGCATATAGAAGTATTTTTATTTAACATGTGTAGTGTTGGGAGATACAGGAGTTATTTATCTTCTGAATATGTGTTGTATATGAAATGAGGCTCAAATTTGCCAAATAAGTGGGCTCGATTCTGGCATACTCTCGTGATCAATAAAAGAGGATAAAGCAACTGGCCATATGGATATTGAACCTCTACCCTGCCCTGATGAGCCCTAACTTCTGATTAATCAAATAAGCTTGTCACTTGCAAGCTTTTCTTGTTCTTCCTTGACTCTTTGGGATTAAAATGCCACAGGATGTGAATGAATGTTTACTTCAATTTGTAGCTATTTTAGGGATATTTATTCTTAGACACAACCTTAATTAACAGTACTAAATGTTTTTATTGCTTTTTTATATTTTCAAATTAAAAATATATGCCAGTAGAGTAAAACTGGTCATTCTGACTTTCTGAATCCAAGAATCCCTTGTATACCCAAACTTGATTTGGCTTTGCTGCTATACAGGGTCCCCAACCTATGGTGAGTTGTATAATTATTTTATTATGTATTACAATGTAGTAATAATAGACATAAAGTGCACAGTAAATGTAATGCACTTGAATCATCTCAAAACCATCCTCCCCCTCCCCGGTCCATGGAAAAATTGTCTTCCATGAAAACGGTCCCTGGTGCCAAAAAGGTTGGGGACTGCTGTCTATGGTTATGTATCTTTTTTAGAATATGAGTCTATTTAAATTTCAAGAATAATAAATTATACAAGGTCTCTGGAAAGGCTTTATCTTAGCAAGGCATTTGGTGGTGAAAGCAACTCTCACACTGGACCAAACTATAGAGACCTAAGGTGTAAGAACCCGTGGAGAGAAAAGGAGATTTACTGTTGGAAAAGTATTTTCAGCTGGTGTATTTGTACGTCGAAGGAGCCAAGAGTTTGAAAGTGCGCTTTTCTCCCCTCAAATACTATGAACATTTGTCATCTTTATTTCTAGAGTATAGTCATAATTCCTTCATAGATTCCTATTTCAGGCTGTCTTAGCAGTGACTGTATGTAAATTCCGAATTATAGCCAGATGGTTGGGTGAGGTGATAAAAAGCAAACCTGGTTTTGTGGGAAAGTGAAAATTGCCCATAAGACTTTGTTTTTACCTTTAAAACAGCAGGACATTGTTTCAAGAGACCTGTGAAGGAAATAATACATTAACTTTAATAGCTATGAGCTAAATTAATTTTTCATATCCATACTGAATACTACCATATAATCTACCTAGACTTTTCAAAGACATAAAAATCAATCGGCTTTCTTACTTTTAGGAGATAGCTAGCAAAGACTGTTTCATTCCCAAATTACTCTTTATATTGTCTCCTTTTTATAGGATTCACTTTTGGATTCTGGTCTTAATGACTTGGGAACCAGACACCTGGGGAATCTGCTAAAAATCTTCACTGTTTCATGTGCTCTCCATTTCATCAGCACTCTGCAGTTGTCTGTCCCCAGTTAATACTATAAATTAGGGGTGGTGGTGGCTTTCTTGGCTGATTGCTTTAGGCTACATACCTCTAACTGGCCAAAAAAATGGGTGTCCAGGAAAAAATGCCAAACCCAAGACTTCACGTTGGCTTTGAGCTACACTTAAGCAAACAAAATAGGTGCACTTTAAGCAGGCTGTGTTTCTTCTTATTATTTCTTGTTAAAATTAGGATTCATGAAAAAGGTCCTCTGGTGATATACACTAGATAGAAAGCAAGATACTAATTTATACCTTCACAAAGAAAATCATCCTCTCCCTTGAACTTCACTATATCTCTCTGCAGGGTGGCTCCCAGTGTCTGCAATTAGCAATACAGTTCTTTCTGATGTAATCTATAATCAAATTATCATAGGTGCATTTCTGCAACAGCAAACAGCCAACTATCAATTTATAAATTGCTATGAGGAAGAAATGAGAAGTTTAATAGGAAAAATGGAAATAGCAGAGAAATGCCGTTGTCATAGTCCTAGGCAGTGACTCTCCCAGGCCTGTGTTCTCAGCTGGCAGCTCACCAAGCTGTGCAGAGAGCCACGTGTTCCCACTGGGATAATTGGTTTTTCTGCATGAGTCTCTTGTTGCTTCTTTCTGATGATCGAGCGTGTTTAAACTCTTGGCTGAATTCATGTTGGGTTTCAAATGGTATTGTAAATTGTACCAGCAAACAAATGAAATTGGATCATGTTCTCTTGCACGTATGTAGCCCTGGCAAATATGGGACACCACTGGAGAGATCCTAATTGCCTATTCTTCCTCTCAATTCCACTCCTAACAGAACAGTTGAAAGACCTAAAACAAGTTATGGTTTTTCTCTCTTAATGTCACCAGGAAAATTGTAGAATGGTCATTTGATTACTTTCAATTTGTCATTCTCATATTTTCTTTAGAATGCACATGTACTTGCCTCAGCATCCTTTTGTTTTATAAGATTGTTTGTGCAAATCCCAGGAACATTATTTACACTTTAAGTAGGCTGTAGAAGATGAAATAGCCTTTGTTTAAGAATCGACCAGTGAATGGATTAGAAAAAGCAAGGTAAATACTTTCTCCAATGTGCTTGAAATCTGACTGGGTTTATTTTTTTTTAATAGCCTATAGTAAAAAACAATCTTGAAACTATTAGCATGTGGTCTATTTTTCTTAGTTTGATCCATCTCTGGAGTACAATCCTCTTATTTTGTGTCATGAGTCCATACCGGATTAGTCATGAGTACATGACAACTTTATCTGACAGTCTTTGGATGAACAGCATGAAACCAGATCGTATCTAATCAAGAGTCTTGTGTGGGAAATAATTGAAAATGCATTTCTTTTTCCTTCATCTTCTCCTCCTTCTCCTTTCTCCTCCATCCCTTTCTCTCTGTCTTTTAGGTCCCTGTGAGCCAGAATGATATTGGAATAAGGAGAGGTGAAAAAATTTTGGAAAATTAATTGAGAATCAATAACTTTTATGAAAAAGAGAAGATTAAATAAATTTTAATAAACTTTGTTAGCCAGGAAAAAGAACCATGATTTGGCTGACCCAGGTTTATTGAGAGTTAAATGTAAAATCATTTTGTAGTAAATATATGATATCATTTTTAGAAACACTATTTTGTATGACAAGATTAGTAAACATAAATACAATATATAAAAATTAATTTCTTGAAATTTGTTCTTATATTTAAGAGAAGTATTGATGGTAACTAGAGTAGTAGATATAAGGTGTTTCATATCAATGATTTTTGATGATGGAAATTTATCAAAAATTTAAAGTTTCATCTGATAACCAACTACATTAAAATTTAGGTCATAGGGCCGGGCACAGTGGCTCACGCCTGTAATCCTAGCACTCTGGGAGGCTGAGGAGGGAGTATCGCTC